TGTCAAAAAAGAAAAAAGATGCCATGGCTGGGAGGGTGGGGGATCATGAGACAGAAGTGGTTTTCCCAGGAATTTCTGGGTGAGCCAGGTCATTTCCAAACCTGGTAGTGCCACCCGTGAAAGCCATCGCTGGAAGTGGGGGATAGAGAGAAAAAGCAGGGGAGGAGGAGAGGGAGGGAGGCAAATGGCTTCCCCTGCCCCACGGCGAGGTGGTCCCAAGCGGGTTACCTGGCTGCCTGGCCCCTGCCCAGCTCGCTCGGGGCCAGCCGTCCCCCAGGGAAAGCCACGGAGGGGCGACGGGGCCGGGAGAGAGCGGCGGAGTGGGGCTGGGAACTGAGGTTCCCAGGGGAGTGCTGGGGCCGGGGGCGGGGGGTGAGCCGGTGGTAGACAAGGCTTTCTTGCTGCAGGATTCGCAGCAGAGTTTGTTATAGCCAGGGATGGAGCAGTAGCGGGCCAGGACCTCCATCTGGCAGAAGATGGACTTGTCCCCGAGGCAAGGCTCCCCTAGAGAGAGACAGAGCAGCATCAGACAGCACAAAGGAACAAAGGATGAGAGCAGCATTAGGCTCCCACCCCTGCACCTTTTCTAACAGTTCCAAAGGACCCTGCAGGGTGCTGCCAAACCTGCTACTGCTTTCTGCCCCATTTTGGCCATGCCTGTATGGGAAGGGGGGGTGAGGGAGTTGGAAAACGAAGCCAAACCACTCAAGGATTCTGTGCACAGGAGAAAAAGCAGAGAGCAAGGGATGCTCCAAACCAGCATCTTAAATCAGATCATGATGCATATCACCCCAGGTATGAAGCACTCAAAGCAACGCCTCGCTTGGAGCACGGGGCAAAAACCAGAAGCCATCTCCCCACTTGGATAAACACAGGAGGCTGAAAAAGGTTTAAATTAAAAAGGAAACTGCACAAAATCTGGGAAGCAAAGGGAGCGCAGCGTGATGCCCAGCCAACGGCAGAGGAAGCTGCAAGATCCCAGACTCCACGAGATGGCAACCGAGCGGCAAGCTTCGCAAGCAGAGGCAGCAGGGATGCAGCAGTGGAGGGTCACCTTCCCCAAAGCCACTGCTGGACACACAGCCTTCCTCCCAGCCACCCCCGGCTCCCACCAGGAGCTGCAGCAGCCCTCGGGAGGGTTATCCCACCAAGAGAGGCCCTGAAGCATCGCCTTTACCTGATCAGGGACACTTACTGGAGGAGATCTTGCTGACTGGGTTTTTGGGTCCATCCTGGGCCACCCGCTGCCCTTTAGGCGTGACGTGGTCAGTGGCATTGGTGCTCACAGTGATGCCAGAGACCTCCCCTGCGGAGACAGTACCATGATGCTCAGACACCACCGGAGGCTGGGAGCACTCAAAATAACTTAGGAGGGTGTTTTGGTGGGGGATTTTTTCGTTTTACGGGATCTTCTTAAAAATGAGGTCCCTTGGGAGCACCTGATTGGCCCAGCACTTAGGCTACCCAAAAAACCCCCAAGACGAACTCCAGGGTGTCCACCTCCATAGTACCCTCAGCTCATCGCATCCCCGAACTGCTAGAAGACCCAAAACCACCTACAGCAAATATCTGTAGGGTCAAGACCAGAAAAGTACAACATAGTGGCTGGCATTTAACCCTTCCTCTGCCAGCATCAGGGACATTCAACACAACCTGCTTTGCTGGCAACCCCCTGAAGCCCAGATGGGCTGGAGGTATGCAACAGGGTTGGTCTCCACCAGCATGTGCCCCCCCAGGTGCCACCTTTTCCTCTTCCTCCTCCTCCTCCTCCTCTTCTCACCTGGGCAGAGGGCCACGTTGCATCCCCGGACAGCCTCTGGCTTGTCACCCTCGCAGCGCCCACCGCTCTCGCTGCCTTTGCAAACCACCTGTCGCTGCTGGACGCCTTCCCCGCAACTCGTCGAGCACTGCATCCAGACAGACAGACAGACAGATGTCAGTGATGGGGGGAAGGACAAGCCGGCACACCCCGACAGCTGCGTCAGAGGAATATTTGCAGACGACAGCGTCTTGGGTGCATATTACTTTCTGAGAAGGATTTTCTCTCCCATCCTCTCCAGCAACCCCACTCTGCCCTCAGCCAGGGTGCACAAGGATGCCATCCCCTGTCTAATTTTGAGTTTCCCCACAAACCTCAATGAAAAACATCGCTGGCTCTTGTACTCTTACCTCCACCCCTATGAGACCAGCCTGCCCTACAAGCACCTGCCCTTAACACCCAGTCCCCACACCCCTCCTCCTGACCCGCTGTGCAGCCGGGGAGTCTTCCCCCCGGCATCCCCAGCTCAC